AAACTTTTGAAAAGACCCGCCCTTTCCACTTGTTGTTGGAAAATTTAGATTTCTCTTATTTCATATATTAATTTATCCTATTTAGTGACTATAAAAGTTTTCACTCAGTCCCTTTCACGGTGTGGGGGTGTTTCTAGACCAGACAGTTAAAAAAAAGTGCACATGCACAACCCTGTACCTGCTCCAGAGAGGGAACGCCTACTAAATGTGTGCGAGAGCGTGCACGAGCCCATTTCTCCTCGTGCACGAGCCCATTTCTCCTCGTGCACGAGCCCATTTCTCCTCGTGCATGAGCCCATTTCTCCTCGTGCATGAGCCCATTTCTCCTCGTGCACGAGCCCATTTCTCCTCGTGCACGAGCCCATTTCTCCTCGTGCACGAGCCCATTTCTCCTCGTGCATGAGCCCATTTCTCCTCGTGCGCGAGCCCATTTCTCCTCGTGCACGAGCCCATTTCTCCTCATGCACGCTCTGTTTAAAAGTCTCTGTGTGCATCGCTCATAGAAACTTACTTTCCAAAAGAAGATTTTAAATTTTTCCACCATGTCAGACTCACCAATGGTCAGTGAAGATGGGAGCGAGCGCGTAGGACGGCCTTACGATAACACATCACCAGAATGATTGACAGTTAGGAGAACCACTTATTTAGATGATCCATCCAGAGAAAGAACATCCTCCAATATACCTTTAATCATAATAATTTTACTAATGGGCGCCCCCTGCTGTTCTCCAGGGTAAACACTGCATCCTGGACGTCTCAGCCAACGCAGTGAGGAGGCTCCAAGCCGCTCACCTCCATCCAATCGCCATCTTCATCCGACCTCGATCCCTGGAGAACATCCTGTGAGTCCGTCAGGTTCTGATTATGAATATCATCTGCTGAATGATCAGCAGTGAAATGAGTCCCTGATGTCTCTGCAGGGACCTGAACAAGCGCCTCTCTGAGGACCAGGCGAGGAAAGCTCTGGACCGAGCCATCAAGCTGGAGCAGGACTTCCTGGAGTGCTTCACAGGTAGAAACTTCCCCTTTGGTCCTAAACTAACCTGAGAGCAGGAAGTTCTGATCAGCGGTTCTGATGTCAGACTGTCAGACCAACCAGGCGGCTTTCTGCTTCCTGAGGGAGTCAGTGATTTACCAATAGTTTACACCTGAAATGACCAATGAAGGTGATTATTCTCCACCAATCACAGCCGGTCTCTGTCTCTTCCAGCCATCGCTCAGGGCGACAGCTTCGACGAGGTCTACCACCAGGTCAAACTGGTCATCGAGGAGCAGAGCGGACCCTACATCTGGGTTCCTGCTCGGGACAGGCTCTGATTGGCTGTCTCCATGGTAACCTCTGTGACCATCCACTCTGCCTCCTCTTCCTCTTGCTGCTGTGGGCGGAGCTACCCAACATGGATCGTTTTTCACTTTTGTTTCTACGAGAAGATGACGAGCGAGCTCAGTGATTGCATGAATGCTGTAACCATGGCGATCACATCCCTGTCAGTTGGTCCACAGACCGACTGAGCGGGAGAAAAATCCTGAATCATCAGAAAATAACGAAGCAGAGACTGTAGAGTTCAGCTCCTATTGAAGTATTTATAGCAACATATTTATTTATTGATTGATCTATTTATTTATTAATAATTTATGTGACGTGAAAATGGTGTGTGCGTGTGTGAGAGTCTGTGTGTAGTGTACATAAAGACGTGTGTGACTGTAAATAAAACCAAGGGGCTTAAACACACAGTCTATTCAGGGCTTC